GGATTTAACAGTGTACATCCCTTTCGTCTCATACCTCCATATTAAGGTGCCAGGTCTGTCACTCAAATTAATAGTACTTGAGTTTGCCTCTTCGCGCGCCTTAAAATTCTTTAAAATCATAATATGGGCATCATGTTATATATAACACGGGCACGCACAAAACAGTTCGAAGCAAGTATAGGATCAAGCATACCCTGCACAAAGAACCAAAATGTCCGACTTGCTTTTTAAACAAATATAACCCCCAACACTTGTCCTTTTTTGCACACATGACAATTTTGATCATATTTATGCATGAACATTTTTGGCCGCACTAGTTTTAACAAACACACATCACATTATGCATTTGACATTTTATACCTTTTTAGCACTGTTTTTCATTTAATTGAGAGGAGTAAAAGAATGCATGATCAAGGTAAATGTAACTAATATCACAATGAGAATAAAAAAATAAACTAAAGCTATTAGAAGGTGGGTAAGGGGAGGGGCCAAAGATACTTGCAAGCTATCTACTACCTCTGTCCGGGTTTAAAAGGCCCCCGGATGGACGAAGCTAGTCCATTTTTACAAGGCCGACTAGACTCAAGTTGCTTGCTCAAAGGAGAATAAAGCGAGATTAGTTAATGCATGGATGCATGCCCGCCAGCGCATGTCCTATGACTGTCTTTTTACTGGCCATGCATGCGCCGCCGCTGGTGACGGCAGTGGAGCTTGAGATATTTTCTTTTAATACTAATGTTAACTGCAACCATGCGGCCAATGCATGCAGCCACTTAAATATTATGTGAAACCCGTTGTAGTTACCTTGGTATGAGAGTTCTTATCCAGGGGACTTTTAAACTCGGACTGAGGTACTAGATAGGAAGAAGCATCATAGATTTCATCGATTCAACCCGAATGGAGAGGGCCTTCAACTTCTATCATCATCTAATCAAACACCCCTCACAAAAGAGGGGGAGGGATGTCCAGGGGCCTGCTCCCCACCCCCACCCCCACAATGATCGACAATTTTAGTAGCAGCGATGAGTAATTACCAACGAGATTAGATCAATATATGTACTCGGCCCCTCCTATACTCAAATCCTGGCTCCGCCACTCGGGGTGTCGTATGTGAACATGTTGATCCAAGATGTTTTTAACTTACAAGATTCATCCTTCCAACCGAGCGCGACAACTAAAATAGTAGATGCCAAAGAACTTTCAAATTTCATAATCGAAGTGTAAGAGTGAAATACAGTTGCGCCTCCTAGCCTATGTGTGTTCAAGTCTCGGCTCGGATGTTTGTGTCTCACATTCTCCACTTAATTAATAAAACCGCAGGAGCTTCTGGTCTAGTTTTAAAGAGTAAAATACAGATGTCTTCCCTTCTCTTGTACAGTGAGCCATAGTTCTTCATGACCATCCTCCGATACTAATTTTGAACCTACACATAGCAGTTGCATTTGGGGCCAGATGCAGAGGAATGACTTTGTCTCATCGTGCGCACTGAAAGCTATATATCACCATCTTCGGCTTCAGCGGCCTATCATCTGATCCGTCTGAGTAGAAAATGCTCGAGGCATTGTCGTTGTCACTCTAGTCCAAAGGCATTCATCCTGTCAAAAGCGACGACGACCATCGTCAGGCTCTGGACTTGCACCCATGAGTCCAAACACGACAATCTCCTGACCGTGTAGAACAACGCCGCCATTGCTTATGGGGACTTGGACAAATCCACCGAGATATTGTTCTCGGCGGCGATCTCTTTGGCCACCTTCTTCTTCAGGCTAATGCTTGCCTTGTCTCCGGACAACTTCCACACCAGCTGCAATGGCAACACAAATCATGCATGTGACTGCTACCTTTCCTCTACAACTCCAAATCAATGGGCGCCTAGAAATGAAGACTATAACTACTTTTACCATCGGGTCGACGACCGCGCTGCCCACCTTGGCGTCGGCAGTGAAATCGTCGCCGAACTTGTCGGCGAGGATCTTGCGGGCAGACTGCAGCTCCGGCAGGTCACTGCAGCGCTTGGCAGCAAATATGATGCCGGCAGCCGCTTTCTTTACCTCCTCGGCGCATTCCCTGTACGCTAAACATATTAGTTTTCTTGCCCAAAACATTTGACATTGAAGTGGATGATCTAAAGACATTAACAAAAAGGAGAAGAAATTAAGAGATCAGATCAGGTGTGATCAAGAGACGTACTTGGGCTTGTCTAGCTGAGCGGCTTTCTTGACGAGACACTTGCAGTAGAGCTCTATGATGCCGAGCGCCTCCAACATGTTGTCCTCCTTTATGACCTGCTCTACTTGCGCAGAGAAAGAAGCTAGCATCAGTAAAAAGGAAAATGTAAGATCGCTAGAAGAATAACATGTGCAGATGCTTTGGAGGCCATAGCATAGCTAGGCACGCACTCGCTGGAGAGCGCGGTCGGTTTGGCCGAGGGAGAGGAGCTGGCAGACGTCGCCGGAAGCAATGGACTTGCGAGCAAGGCGAGGCTTGCGGGCGATGGCTACACGTGAGACGGTGAGCTCGAGAAGGGACTTGAGCTTGCCGGTCTGCTTGGAGAACTTCCTGAGGAATCCCATGGCTGGTGATCTGCTCTTCCCGGAGTTCCTTGAGGTGTTGGAGTTTTTGACGGGACCAACGATGCGCCTACCGGCGGTCGGCGGCGGTATCGTTGGTCCTTGGATGGGTGGTAGGGGGAAGAGGAGCTGAGTTCTTGGGAGGAAAAAAGGTTTTCTAGGGCATTGTTTCTCTGTTTTTAGAAGTCTAATTTTAGTGCATAGGCTGTTAGTTCAGTTATATAAAACAAACTTCTTTCATATTTGGAACATGAGGGCTGGACGTGCACATAATAGGGAGCAAAACGTGTAAAGAAAGTTTTTTTAATAAAAAATGTGGAAAATAATTCCTATTAGACAGAAGGACATCCCCTGCTTGATCCTTTCGGATTGAGGGTATTTCAAATGAATTTTGTAAGAATTCATTAGAAAACTTTCACTCTTTTTGTTGAGTGTCGTGATTGTATTAAAAATATAAGATAGGATAAACTAGCAAGTATTTTAACTTGTCTTGTATTTCAAATAGATTATATATATGGACTTTGATAATGTCCGATCGTTTTGATCCTAGGAATAGATCCGAACAATTTCTCCAATCGCTAATTCTGCCATGAGTTGGCTTCCTCGATCATGCGTGTGGCTGCATGCAGCCCGCACCCAACGCTAGATAGTTTTGCATGCATGTTAGGATTAGAAGCTCCTAATTAAATGCAGAAAAAACAAAATCAATGATGTCAACAGATTCTTTAAAAAACAAAAAATTCAACATGTTTTGTACCTCAAACTGTCGTTCGAATTGAAAAACTGTTTCACATAAAGGATTCGTCACGAGGAGACCTTCGAAACTAGATCCCATATTAATATGCTTTGACGACTTTTTTTTCAGGTAAAAAGTTACCACATCTGGCTACGTAAATTATCACACCTACAATACATAACTTATCATGTTGTTTACAATGAGGTTACCGTGGGTATGTTTCAACTACTTTTTTTTGCCTAAGTCGAACGATACCATATGATTTGTAAGTAAATTAACAGGTCTGCAATACCACCTTCTATCGTAGATGTTGTCTATGCGCCGCAAGGCGAGGTCTACATGCCGACGTGGCATGGCCCGCTTATAAATGGAACTTTACGGATTGTGTCGGGTCAGTCTCATTTAGGCGTGTGTTGGATCGTGGTGTTTGTACATGAGTTATCAGTTGTGTTGTGCATATATAACCATGTTATTTACACAGAAGTTATCAGATGTATGTATTTTGATACCTATTTTACCAACTCAAAAAGTGATCATGGTTTGTATGTGAGTTACCATCTCTATTGTGTGCATATTATCATGCTACTTACACATAAGTTGTCATGATATATTTTCCAACAACCTTTTCCCGTCCAAAAAAATCATGTGGTGATTCTATGTGAGTTATCAGCTCTATTATGTGTATATTACCATGGCAGGTACACACAAGTTATCGGGGTATAATTTTCAACAATTTTTTTCCCTGGTCAAAAAGCTAATGTGGTGTCCGTATTGAGTTATCGCCCTCTAATGCCTATGTTACCATGACCGGGACATAGAAGTGATCAGATCATGTTTTTCAACAATTTTCATCCCACCTATATTACCATGATATTGACTCAGAAATTACCGGATGTTTGTTTTCAATTTTTCCTCTTGTCAAAAAGTTATCATA